CCTGCAGATTGAGAGCGAAGTGCTCTGTTAGGAACATAAGGAACAATCAGATCTCTGATATCAGATGGAGCTTGGCCTGATTTCCTTATTTAGCATTTTAAATCTTTGGATTTCTTTTGTTGTTGTGAGCTGCTGGAAAATCAACCCAAAACCAAGTTTTTAATTTAATTGAATTCAGTTTATATCTATAGGGCCAATTTATAACACAAGTAACCTCAAGGCACTTTACAGACACAGTTCAATCAGATAGGTTTAAGTTTTCTATTGAAGAAGAAAGACAGCTAATGGCATCCAGGTAATGATTTCACAAAATTTTATCAGCATCACAACTGGACAAGATGTTTCTGATTTTTGCAATATTCTAGAGATGAAAGTAAATTCTAGAAGACTCTTTGATATGGGATTTAAATATCAAGTCCTGATCAAAAATAACATTGACACTGTTTATATGATACTCTGAGATTAATGTAATCCCATCCAGATAAAGTGACTGACTAATCAGCTTCTTTTTCAGAGACTCGGATCCAAAGACTATAACTTCTGTTTAGTCTGCATTCAGAAGCAGAAAATTAAGAGTCATTCAGGTTTTTATGTCTTCAAGACATGCCTGTAATCTATGTAATGGGTTAGCTTCATCTGGATTTATGGAGAAATATAGCAGAGTATCATCAGCATAAGAAGGGTAGAGAAAACCCCAAAGCATTGCTTCTTTCTTTCACTCTGAACAGAGGAAATTTGTTCCCCAGAGCTTGTTGTTTTGGTTTCTTCTGATTTCTCAGACTCACATTGACGTTTTCTGCCAAACTCGCGCATAAGAAGAACTTTCAGGATGTTCCTGTGGTCCCACAGACCTCCTCCTTCTGCGATATAAGGTCTGGAAGACGTACAAAAGGCTCCTTTTCATGCCGTCCCCAGATCTACATCCTCTCTGACAGCTGGTACAGTTCGCTAAGCTTTTAAAAAAAAATGCTGAAGCCACAAAACCCTTATGTTGCAACTGCCTAAACGCTTTGGCCCGGTCTTGTCTGTTCTTGCACAACCATCTGTCTGCACTGACACAATCTGACAGTTTTAAATAAATCACAGGAAGCTGCAAAGACTGACGTTCACAGAAGAAGCGGTGCTATAGCAGCTCAAACTGAAACATGTCAGCCATGGTAGAAGCTGTTAATCATATAAAGTTTAGCCCAGAAAGACTCTTACCTGTGCTTCCACACCTGAACCTCTTCACCTGTTGTCTCTGAGCAGCTGGCAGAGCCTCCGACCCTTGCTCCCTGTAAAACTTGAACTGCTTTGAACCGTTGCTGCTGGCTAACCATTTATGACCAATCAAGTCTTATCCGCTGCTCTCAACTTCCTCATTGTTCTTCCTCCGTGGTCGAGGCTGAACATGCGCTCTGGAGATTGTAGTTCCAGCAGGAAGGATGACGAGGAATGTCTCATATTGTCTTATGTGCAAATTAGGAGTAACAGCTTAATATCTACATAACACATCTACTGGCTACAGGAACCTTAGGAGGAGCCTCTAAATTATTCTACAAATACAGAAAATTATCCTCTATCTGTTATCTAGGTTGTTAAACTAAGCTTAAGTGTTCAAAACAACGGATTGTACTAAAACTAAAGTACAGCCTCTGTATCTTTTACTAACTCCACCATAACGGTTTAGCCAGGCAGTTTTAGATGTTTTGGATCATGTTCCAGTTTCAACAGTAGAACAGATAGAGTTAATTGTAAGATCATCACCCCTCCGCCGCCGTGCTCCACAGTATGTCTGCAATGGAATGTAGTCGGAAGCGGGGGACATTGGACTCCCCTGCTTCAGTGGGTGGGTAGAACAAATACATGACATGGAAATGACTTGTTGACTCCACATTTCCCATCTCTGGCTGAAGGTTTAGAGCCTGTTGTCTTTTGGAATCATCCTCCTGCTTCCAGGTTTCTTGGAGTTATTTGAGAAGGCCGGAGCTGAGGAGCTGGAGAAGTTAAAAAAGAGCCAGGAGAACATTGTCTCCCTGCAGGAACGCTGCAGAGGAGGAGGGAGTTTAGGATTTTAAGTGTGCGTTCCAGTCTCTCTGTACAGATCATGATAAGGCTCCGCAATGTAGATGGGGTGTCCACCAACGAGCTGAGGAGCATGCAGGAAGTTCTGCTCAGCAAAGAGACGGACATGATCCAGTCAGAGTGGACTGACGACAGGTGAGTCAACCTGACAGCCCTAAACCCTCTGGAAACTACGGCAGGATTTAGATGGATGAGGCGACTCCTCTTCCTCTCAGAGTCCAGACGGCTGCAGCAGGACTTGCAGAAGCTGCAACAGCAGAAAGGTAAGCTCCCAGGAGAGACCAGCACCCTGAAGGAGCTGATCAGCACCATGGAGTCTGAGCTGAACACCTACAGAGACCTGGACATCCTGAAACAGACGGCAAAGGTCGAGGAGAAGGAAGATAAACAATCCCCACAATCCTGATCCGTCAAACACAGAACACCTCATGTCTCCTCTTTTGCTGTAGTTTCTGGCTCTGCATAGAGACACGTTTGGAGAGCTGCTGGAGGAGATGAACCAGAAACACAAAACTCTGAAGACCAAACATCAGGAGAGAGATATTCACACTCAGGTTAGAGCAGGAAAGGGACAGACACGTGCAGCTAATGTTTTTATCAGGTTCGATCAGAATTACCTTTACTTTTGGTGTCTGTATCTTAGCTGACTAATCTGGACAGAAAGTGGCAGAACCTGGAGCAGAACAACTTAATGAAAAAAAATTATCTTTCAGAACAGGACTGAACATCTGGAACTGAAACAGTTTAAATGGAATAATATTCAGCAGGATGTCTTAAAACAGTGGAGGGTGAGGACAGCCATCCTTCAAACACTTTCAAGGATGGATGTCTTTATGCTTATTATCAAATACGTTCCAGCACCTTCAACTTATTGTTTGACATTTAATTAATCATTTTAAATGTCATTTAAGATATGAAGGGATGCTTTTGATAGCAGTGTAAACAATGAAAATATCAAATCTATCTCTGCATCACAGCAGTGCTCCAGACCACTAGAGGAAGACATTGACTCGTAGGGAACAGACTATAAAGATTACTAAAAAAATATATATGGATGAGATGTGGTAGAAATTCACATGCAGGATTTCTGCCCAGAGGAGATTAGGAGGACAGAACCTTTGGCTCAGTCAGAATACCTCAGTTTGTAGCGTCTATCCTTCACCTGTCGGGGGATGAACAGTAGAACTCTATCCAGGTCTAACTGGGACTTCAGTCTGTCTTTGGGAAGGGAATTAAGTAAAGAACTGATGCTCTCTGTTAAGCCGGTCATACGCTGTGCGATTATTTTCAATCGCTGCACGCCGCTACAGCTCACACTGTATGATGAAACTGCAGGGTTTTATCTCTGACAGCAGCTCTGTCAGCACACCTCTCACCTGATGATTCAGGGACTCTATCTACAGGTAAAAGCCGGTAAATTAAAATATTTTGAAAAACTTGATTTATTTCAGTAATTGCATTCAAAAGGTGTAACTTGTACATTATATTTATTCATTGCACTCAGACTGATGCATTCAAATGTTTATTTCATTTTATTTTGATGATTTGAAGTGGCAATAAATGAAAATCCAAAATTCCGTGTGTCACAAAATTAGAATAATACTTAAGGCTAATACAAAAAAAGGGATTTTTTAGAAATGTTGGCCAACTGAAAAGTATGAAAATGAAAAATATGAGCATGTACAATACTCAATACTTGGTTGGAGCTCCTTTTGCCTCAATTACTGCATTAATGCGGCGTGGCATGGAGTCGATGAGTTTCTGGCACTGCTCAGGTGTTATGAGAGCCCAGGTTGCTCTGATAGTGGCCTTCAACTCTTCTGCGTTTTTGGGTCTGGCTTTCTAATTTTGTGACACACAGAATTTTGGATTTTCATTTGTTGCCACTTCAAATCATCAAAATTAAATGAAATAAACATTTGAATGCATCAGTCTGTGTGCAATGAATAAATATAATGTACAAGTTACACCTTTTGAATGCAATTACTGAAATAAATCAAGTTTTTCAAAATATTCTAATTTACTGGCTTTTACCTGTATGCATACAACTTTTCCTCAGGATGCATCCATCGTAGTTGTTTAGTGATGATCTATTTCCTGATCTTTCTTTAAATTTATCATCAGTCATTGCATCCAGGAATCAGGAGAGCGACTTCGCCTCAGAGGCGGAGAGCGTCTCCCAGCAGGAGGCCGATTATAACAAGAGCCTCATAGAGTCACTGCAAACCAGAGACCTGAGAGCTGCAGTGATCTCTAAAAATGTTCTAGTTATTCTGTTGTAGTTATTCTGGTATTTGTGGTTTTTAAGGAGTTTGAAATAGTCTCTCCTGATTGGTCAGATTCTTTAATTTAACCAATAATCTGAGCCTTATTTTTATGTTCGGAGCTCATTTCTAATCAATACATTTATTCTGTTTAAACTTCAAATCTAAGCAGCTTCTGTGGTTTATTGCATTAAATGATTTCAACCATTAGGAATTCAGGACAACTTTTTTTTTTCATTTATTGCTTATAATTAAAGAAAAAAAGATCAGTTTGCATAAAATCCAAATTCCACTCTAGAAATATATTTTGACCTTTCCAGTACATTAATATCAAAGTACAGTAAACATAACGGCTGAGGGCAGCAGCAGACGGACCTCCCTTAGCAGATTTACAGTACAGCATTGTTCAAATGGGTCAGTGGAACAATACTCGGGTTGTTTGGCGCTTCCTCGGCATGTACGCTGGACTTCCTCCTTCATCCACACCGGCAGTCTGATCTATCGGTTCTGGACCGGCGGCGTTTTACCACCAGGATCTCCTGCTGGTCACATTTAGGAATAACAGGTGTGAGCGAATGCATAGATCAGCTGCAGTGACTGTAGGCTGACAAACACAGAAAACAACAAAAAAAAAACAAGCAGCAGGTCAAAAGTCGCCCCGAACTGGACCCACAGAACCGGGGGTGGAAATCATATCAGGGGCAGATGCACTGTGACGTCCTCTCTGGGGCGATACGGCGCCTTTCTGTCTCCACCAGAATCCAGGTGGTTTAAAAAAAAAGAGGCAAAAAGTCTAAAACAGCAAGGGAAGGAAGTGACCAGTCCCAGAGAACCTTCTAGAACCTTCCTCCCAGAGAACAGGGTTGGAATCAGTGCAGGCTGGTTTACGGTTACAGTCAAGCTTCTGTCCATCAGCCGTTTCTCTGTCATCTCTGGTAACACTTTAAAAATCTCACGTTTGATCGCTGAACGCTGTTCCTGGCGTCCCACAGAACCACCGCTGATGCCGTTGCTTCAAATTAAAGATTTTCAAGTTTATCAACAAAATATCATCAAGTGTCAGTTAACAAGGTTTACATGAGAAAAAAAATTCAACCTCAGAATAAAATACGGGGAAAAATAACCTTAAAACGACGCATAGATGCCTGAATTTCTAGATCTAAATCAATAAACAAAAGAATTTAAGGTTTTTGTTTCATCTGGGAAAACACGAGTTTAGAGGCGACAGCTTTGTATGGTAAATATGAAGCTGTTACACTCCTGACCAGCTGGTGGCAGTAAAGCAGCGGATGTTCATCAACGAACATTAAACGAGAAAAATACCAAAACTGATCCATAGATAGTTTTCTTATCTCCGTTTTAAATATTTAAGCACACAGTTTTGCGTACGATCAACTAAAACCTGGTTGAGGAACAATGTTCAGGAGCGTTACGGCCTCCTAGTGGTCAGAAGTTTAACAGCATCATCCGGGGTTGGAGATTTTCTCCATTACAATTTTTGATCGATTGTAATACATTTGCGACCTTTTCTCATAAATTATATTCGGTCATATAATAAAATTTTCACTTAAAAGTTTGACTCTTTTTCGCAAATTCTTTATGAATTTGTAATTCTTTCAATTACATTTATTGTTCGTAGAGTTGCGATTTTCTCTTATGTTTAATGCATGCTAATAAATTAGCAATTTGTTCTACTAAATTCGTTATAAGAACTTTAAATATTTTTATTTTTTCTTACAAATTTGCAGTTCATATAAAATTGCGAATTTTTCAAGGAAATGCGATTCACTCTTTAATACATTTTGTTCTAGTAAATTTGGAATTTGTTTCTGTACTTATGAATTTTTAGACTGATATATTTAATTGGTCAGTTTTAACTTTCTATCTTGTTTTTCCTAAACTTGCGTTCTCTCAGATGAAACATCTGATGTCATGTATGTAGGAGTCAAATAGAAACCTTTATTGACAGAAGGAGACGTAAAGGTCAGTTTTTACAGTCTGGTTTTCTCTCAGGGAGCTGGTTTCAGCGGAAGGCAGCTTTTCATTTATTTTACTGTAAAAACAAACTGATAATAAAGGTTGGATTATAAAAAGCAGCCAACCGGAGCTTTAGGTTGAGAAAAGGGGCTGAACCAGTTCAACTTTTGTTCAAACGCAGCAAATACATTCGTGGCTTTCTACGTCTTTTCGGGATAAATACACAATTATCTTTTTCAAGTTGTTGATCTTTAACTGCCAGATAAAAAAAACAAAATATTTCTTTTTTTTTTTCTAGTGTGATTTTAAAAACAGACATCTCATTCTATCTAAAATATCAACTAATATATAAAAAAAGGAATACTTTTATATACTAAAAGCGAAAACCAACAGTTAATCTGTGTGGATCAGAGGCAAAGTAAAGAACCTGCTGTGAAAAATTCTCTCTGAATCAAACGATTCGGATATTCCTTATTTTAAAACGGTAAAACGTCTCAGAAGCGACGGTCTCCTCGCCTGAAATTCTGCACCGCAGCCGATTAATATATCCATGAAAATAAATCCTTAAATATACAGATTCCTAAATTAAAAGGTTTACATTCAAAACTGTGCAGAGAACTTCAAGATAAACCCTCCTTCTGCTCTACGGGACTCTTTGCCGGTTAGTGAAAACAGCTGTACAATTCATCCAAACAATTAAAAGTCAAGCGAAGAAAATAAAAACATAAATAGACTCCTTAAGAAATAAGTGGATCAGAACAATTAAGCAGAGACTCAAGTCTTATTTCTCAGTAAAAAAAAAAAAAAAAATCCTTAAAATCTTCCTATTAAGTAATAATTTAATTTCCAACCCTCAGTGCAAAAATGTCCAAAGGAACTGAAGAGGGGGGGAGGGGGTCACATGACTGTGGGAGACTGCGCGTCGTTTCCATGGGAACAACAGATCTGTCAGGCACGTCTGCTGAGGCTTGGTCCGCCGAGCCCTTGGCAGGTGGTGCAGAGGCGCTTGGACGCGCTGCTGTACCTGGGACCAACAGAGGCCCGTCACATCATGATGACATCATCACCATCACCATCCTCCTTCCTCTTCTTCAGTCAGCATTGTCAAGTGCTTCTGAAATGTTGGACGCTGCGTATTTTAGCCTGAAGCCACCTGCAGATACAGAGACAATCCGTCCGTTATGGGAGGAAAAAGGAAACGGAAGAGGGGGAGAGTGGATGATTATGGAGAGATATTAGTGCCATCGGCTTGAGCGCGCAGGAACCAATCCGAGCGCGGAGTGAGACAACACATGCGCGCGCAAAACCAGCTGTGCGCTCGGCTGTTTCTCCGCTCGATCGACTTTTTGAGCTCGCGACTTCAGCAATGTATATAAATGAACCATACCATCAGCCAATCACGCTCAGCTTCTTTTCATCCAATGAAAGCATTCGTTCCAAATACTACATCTGGTTAAATGGGGAAAAAAATGTAAAATACAATCAGGAAAATCAAACAACTCTTGCAGTTATTTGGTCAACACTCCTAACCATTTGATGGACAGAAGATAGTACTATAAAATATATAATATATTTTTATCTATATATTGTTGAACCATATTTGAATCTGAAATATCCTCCTTATTTTTCCTTTTAAAACAGCAAATTTAAATCCATGTCAATAGCAGGCAAAAGAGATGGATGAGGCAATGATCTAATAACTGTTTCACTAAAGTTTATTTGAGATAATTCAAGATTTTTACGCGCGCGAATGTTGTCTCACTGCGAGCTCTGATTGGTTCATGCGCGTTCAAACCGATGGCACAAATATCGCTCCATAGATCATCTGGTTGAAATCTAAAGTGCCTTGAGATGACTTGTGTTGTGAATTGGCGCTATAAAAATAAACTGAAGCCTTTCAAATACTACTTTTTTTTTTGAGTTTTTAACGGCACTAGTGGCTTGTTTTCAACAGTAGGCTGACAGGACGGGGGGTGGGGTGTGGGGTGAGAGATGGTAAAAGACACGCTGCAAAAGACCACAGGTGGAATTCGAACCTGGGTCACCCGCACCTGACTAAGGCTAATCATAAACATCTGGATCTATGGAGGCTATTTAGTTCCATTATTGTTGTGGTGAAGGTTCTCAGTCATCCAGGTCAGTCATTCCAAATAAAGAAAATTAAAAATAATCCACAGGACTTTGTTTCCAAGTCAGAAGACGTTTCACTTCCCATCCAGGAAGCTTTTTCAATTCAAAATGTCAAGATTAGCGTTGAGCTTGAGGTTTATACAGTGGCCCAACAAAGGCCGGAGGTTCCAACTTTCAAAAACCTACAACGCAGCTATTGAGTTAATGACTTCCCACTATCATCGCAGCCCCAGCTCCTGAACAGGAGAGTGGAGGACCTCATCTATTCAGCCAGGACAATAATTCCCTTTAACGACCTTCCTTTCAGACAATTAGCTACGTTCACATTGCATGCCTTGATGTTAAATTCTGATTTTTTTGTGAAATCCAATTTTTTTGCGCGGTTGTTAAAATTTCCAAATATATGTGCCTCATATGTGATCTCCTGTGTGAACTGCATTCATACAACCTAAGTGTCCCGCATGCGCAGTAGAGGACGCAATGACGTCACAGGCCAGCGTGCTATGTGTTTACGGAAGTAAACATGGAGGGTAGCGCTGGAGTGAATCTGGCGATCTTTCCCTACCTTAAAAACACAATCTTTTCAAGATGGTTAAACATAAATACTGCTCTCCGCATCATCGTCTGCCATGATTGTTGTTCCCACCACCACCGCAGAGCAAGAAGCACAATAGTCAACTATGAAGGACATTAAGGGCGCACAAATCCGACCAAGACGACCAGAAACAGCACACACAGGAAAAAATCGAAAACATAACAGATGAACGAACACAGAACCAAAGAGCCAAGAACCCATGAGAAAAAAAGAAAAAAAGAGGAGCTCAGACGGTCAGAAAAACATCAAAACAACAGAGCAAGGGCGCAAAAAAACCAAAAAAAGCGCACTTCAGGCACTGCAGGCAACGGAGCCAAAGAAGCCTAAGAGGCATATCAGGCAAACCAAAAAAAACAAAAAACACCCAAATCAAAAAAGAGGACACCCCCGCCTCTGTCTATATGCACATGTTCTAAAAAAAAAAAACACGCTGTGTGCCGCCGCGAGAAAAAACCGAAAAAAAAACGCTGTCTCACACACTCAAAAGAAAAAAAGCCCCCAAAAGGAAGAAAAAAACCTCCAAAAACGGAAAAAAAAACCACAGGAGAATGTTTAAAATTCTCTTTCAGAAAACCACAATAGTGGCAAAGACGTTCTTCCTTACCTTGCTGTGTGGCGTCCATGGTGGACTGGTTGCAGTCCTGAGCGAAGTGTCCGTTCACGCCGCAGTTGTAGCAAGACACCGAGCCGTTCTTCTTGTTGATCCCGCCCCCTCCCAGGGTGGCGGGCGGCATCCCCAGGTGACCTGGGTACACGTGCTGGTAGAGGCGCTGGGAGAAGGAACCGGCCTGCGCCATCTGTTGCTGGAGGCCGTAGTTGGCGGCGGCCATCATGTGAGACGGCGCCTCGGCCTGGCTGTGAGGGTGAAGGTAGGGGGAAGGGTGTACGGGGGGCGGACCTGTGGGGAAGAACGGGGGGAGGGTGGGGGGCCCGTTGGCCTGGGGAGGAGCCTGAGCCTGGGTGAGGTAGAGGAGGGACTGAGGGACGCCGAACATCTGGCGAGCTACCGCTGCTGCCATCTGGTGGGGGTAGTAGAAGGTGGGCTGACAGGCGGAGGAGCTTCCTACGCGGCTGCCGCAGTTGTTATGGCAACCACAGGTCCCACATCCCACGGGCGGCGGCGTTTGCTGCTGAGGGGGCATCTGCTGCTGCTGGGTTTGCTGAACGGGGTTTGGGTTGCCAGGGGCAACAGAAGCACTTCCACAGGAAGCACTGGGGCTGCTGTACGACGGCGAGTCCGTCTGCGTCACGCTGTAGCTGAGCGCCGGGCTGAGGCTTGGGGGAGGCACGGGGGAGTTGGAGGGGACAGCTGTTGGTGCAGGAGATGGAGCAACTACAGGGGCCACAGGGGCCCCCAGAGGGGGCAGGACAGAGGGGGGAACAGGGGCCAGGGCGTAGGGAGATGGTAAGCTGAGGGCGTGCAGCTTGGAGTGGGGGGCCTCTATGTGAGGCAGGCCTGCATCCTGTGGGGGCAGCGGGGGGGAAGAGTAAGGGGAGGGCCCCGGGGACATGGAGCCCAGAGCTCTTAGAGGGGCCTGGTGTGAGATGGCGGCAGAATCAGCACCGGGGTCTGCAGCGCCCTGGTTATGGGACAGCGCCGTCCTAAACCTCTGGACCAGCGGCTGGAGGGCCAGAGGCGGGGCCCCGAACGTCGTCAGCACCTCCCTCTTCTCTGCGTCCCCCACCATCCCGGGGCCCTGGACGGCCATCGGCATCATCAGCGGCTTCCCGTCAGGATCGGCGGCCCCGTTCGGGAGCAGGCAGCCCAGAGAGGGCATGTAGGGCAGCGGGGGGAACTCTGCGCCGGCTTCCGGGAGGGGGGGCTCCACCCGAGGCTTGTGGCTGCTGGAAGACATAGGAAGCACCGAGGGGACATCTCCCATGGCGACCGCATCGCTCTGCCGCGTGTAGAACAGATCAGGAGCCGCGCCTTTACCGCCATCATCAGAGTGGCTGTCTGTGTCTGAGAGACGGATGGCTGTCAGGAAAACATCACAGAGCCACAGGTGGACCTGCTGCTGTGGCTCCGCCTTACCTTTGTTGTTGTCGTCGTCGCTTTCCAGACTCTGGCGTCTTCGGTACTGAGGGCTGGAAGGAGAGCTGCAGCTTTCAGACGAGGTTTCCCCGAACACGTCGGGATGTGAAGCTCCAGCTGAAAGACATCAGGGTGTGACTGACGGAGCAGAAACCTCCTCCTCAGCATTTAGGGACTGAACTTCTTAAAACCCGTTGCTCAATTTAACCCAGGTGGTCGCCTTTAAGTTCTTACCTTTCCTCTGAGGTGACAGGGCTGGAAGAAAGCCGCCGTTTGTCACGAAGGCAGCTCCGTCACCCTTTATTGTCCCCTTGTCCCTGCAGACAGAAATGAGGGAAAGAAGATGTCACCATAAGGGCGGATTGGGAGGTCGCTACATTTCGGACCAGATGATCCGACTAAAAAGAAGAATGTTATTAGGGGAGTGTTGGCCTAGTGGTTAGAGCAGAGCGCTTGTGTTCTAAGAAGGTAGCAGGTATCCGGTTTGATCCCCACAGCCTGAACTCTGGTCCCTGAGCAAAACGTTTTCAGGTTGGGCTAATGGCGTGATGATAACGAATCTGACTACGGATCAGGAGACTCTAGATTCTAGTCCTGGCTAGCTAGTTTGTCAGCGGCAGGCTAGCTCAATAGGCAAGACCCTTCATGCAAATACCTGCTTTGGGGGCGGCCTAGTGGTTAGGGCATAGAGCTTGGAATCCTGAGGTTCCGATTCAAGCCCCACTCCCACAGACTGCCACTCTGGCTCCTTGAGCAAGACCCTTAACCCCACACTGCTCCCCGGGCGCCGCACAATGGCAGCCCAAGGGGATGGGTTAAATGCAGAGAGGGCTCTGTACTTCTTACAGTGTAATGACGATAAAACACTGGATAAAAATAAAAAGTAAAGGCCCCTTTAGTCTTTGTTTTAACTCACAGGGAAGATCCTTTTGGGAACTTAGCTTAACACTCTGCATAATGACGTCACTTTTGGTCATTTGGCCTGTTTAAGCAATCCTCACTGACACTTTACTCTAATAGGCAGCAAAGTTCTGCTGATAGGTTTTATTTTAAACCTGGTGCCGTTTTGGACATAAGTCTAAACTGTATGTCAGTTTTTGAGGCAGATATCACTTCTTACAAGAATGAAAATTATGAAAAATATCACATGGTCTGAATTCAAACTAAAACAAAACCGCAATAAAGAATCAAACCAAACTTTAACTACAGGTAGTAGAAGAGGGACCAGTGTTGGAAGCTGGTCACTTAAACTCAAGTAATGGCTGCTGAACGCATCTATGTATCATCCTTAATGCCAAGATCTCTAAAACACATCGTAATTCATTCGTTTTCATTCCAGTTGGGCATTGTTTGAATTTCAACTATTCCAGTTTCTCCTGATTCTTCATTCAGTCTTTTAACAGGAAGGATCATAATATTTTAAATGACTTGTTTCGCCAGAGATCTGTCTGGATAAAATAGTGATACCTGGTGATTCGTTGCTCCCACATTAATCAACAAGCAGTTCCCCTCTACACCAGCTGGGGGCAGCATCGGCACGCTTCAGAGGAATGATCCAACTCAATGTGTTGTAAGTTTATCGAACAAAAATATGGTAATTATTCATATAAGTGTACTAACATAAAGGACAGTTATTTATGGTGTTTTCAGAACTTGTTGTGTTTTATGTCTCTTTGCAGACATCTACGGGTCTAATTAACAATTAGAGATAAATAGCTCGACCCATTTCATGTGGATATCATGAGAAAACATACATCTTTAATTTAGGCTGCATTTATGTATAAATGTGTGTTTATATTTATAAGCAAATGAGCATCAACGTCTGATCTGTGTTGCTGATTTTTTTTACAGATGTGGTCGTCTTTTTGCTGTTTGTTCCACATGATTGGTGCAGACTGATCAAATCAGAGGCGGAGGCCCCAATTAAAGTTCCCAGGCTCTTCCAATGCTCTACTAGACATGGAAGTAGGTATGTTGTGCTTTTTTGGACAGAGTGCTCAGTAGCTAACATGTTAGCCTTTTTTTTAGCTCGGTCAGTTAGCCACATTAAGGTACACTACTTTTAAATTCGCATCAACAACAAAAGTCTGTTTTCTACAAGCAGAATAACTGTTTTATTTGTCTAAAATCTCTACCAAAGTCATTTTTAAAATGTTCCATTTGTCAATCCTGCCCACAGATCTTAATAAAAAGAATAAAAATAAGCTGAGACTTTTTTGTCACTTTGTTAAATGGCAGAGCTCAGTCTTAGAATGAAGTGATTTCCTTTAAGACTGACAATGATTGTTTTCTAGTTTTAGCTACTTTAGATTTCCGATGAAATTCTTAAATAATAGCAAATAAAGGTAGTAATATGTTGAGACTCCAAAAGAGATTTGATCCATTAGAAACAAACTGGTGCAATACAGTTTGTCGGAGTGGAGTTGCCATGTGTTGACGTCATAAAAAGGGGCAGGACCCCGAGCAGATCTGGTATCCACACCAGTTCTGATCGATTCTAAGTGTCTGTCCCAAATGTTCATAGAAATAAAATAAATCCAGACTTTCAGACTTCTTCATCCAGACAGAGCTCATTTAAAAAAATGTTTTTAACTTTAGTGACTTTTCTTCTTAAATGAATCAGAATCAGGAGGAGAAAGGAACCAGAATCGTTCAAATTCGAATCCCTGCTCAGAACTTTTATCAGCAGACATGTATTGGTCTGTTAAGGCTTCCAAAGGGCGCCCCCTGGTGGTTCCCTGCATTTCTAACCAGCCTTTTCACTAATAAGAAGTGCAGTGTGTCACAGTCTGGGTCATGTATTGTTTTTGGGTTGGTGTTCAAAGAACGTACCTCTCTACGGGTAAAAACCTGCTCTTGGTTTTCGGGGTGGGCTGGTTTCTCCTGTCTGGATCCAGCTGCTGGAGGAAGAACAGGAGTTAGAAGGAGAACCCAAAGGTACGGTGGAGCTCCAGAGGAGCATCGCTAATCACTTTGAACATCTTCCTGTGAGGAATTTAAAACGACTGAAGGAAGCGGGACGTGTTCCTACCTGCTCTGCTTCCTGGCTCTTCCTCGGTGGGCCGCCCTTCTTTCTTCTGTCAGAGGGTCCGTTCAGCTCTGCTGCATGGCCTCCCCTCCAGCCGTCCCCCTGGGGGCTTCTTGTGCACGACGACCTGGCAGAGAGAAAGATGACCGACCATGAGCCGCGGTAAAACGTGCACCACGCTGCGGTGATGATCTGACAGCGGTACTCACAGCTGACTTGGACTCTTAGATGCGTGTTTCTTCTTGTGCCCTTGAACGTACCCCTCTGTGGGGAAAGAGCCACAAAAACTAGATCAGAATTCACAACCGATCACATTATCCACTGCTCACTGTCACATTAATGATCAGTGGTTCTGATCCATTTCACTGGGGTTTCAGAGCTCAGTGGCGGACAGACACGTCTGCAGGTGTTAGTCCACCTCTAAAGTTACAGGTTGGTGGCGGCCCTGCTTCAAAGCCGGAGAATTTAGCTTATATCAAAGATCATTCTAGTGTCAGAAAGGCCTAGTCAAAGTCCAGACCTAAATTGGATTGATAAGATGGTAAATTCCCTCTCCATACAATCCGACTAAGGTTAATGTTTTTTAAGGGAATAATAAAAATGTCTCCCAGCACTTTGGCTTTTTTATACTTTCCACTTCCTGTAATCAAACTCAGCCTTTATCCTTTAATAAATAAACTCCTAATTTGTGACTAATGAGAAAAAATTTCTGAATACGGCGCATTAATAAGCTCTGCATGGTGAAACTGCTCCACCAATGGAAGACAAAACCTCCAGCGCTGACTGAGCTGACCTGAGATCAGCACCAACTAGAGTAAATATAGCCATGAAACATGAGGATTTGAGACAGAGGATTTCCAAACGACGTCCCAAAATAAACCCCTTTCCTTCAGCCGCCGTGGAGCTCAGCTTTTTGTCAGGAATAGAACCCATCCCCAGGAGAAATTGGTTTTTCATCCGCTCACCTTCTTCCTGACTGGAGGCGTCAGAGCAGTCTGGCTGGTAGGCCTTTCCAGGCTGCAAGTTGCCTGGAAATAAAGGAATCCAACGTGAAACGACAACATCAGCTTAATTGGCAGCAGATTTTAATGCAGTTAGTATCTGAATTGTAAACTAAAATATTAAAAGGCTTAAATGAAAAGAAAAAGAAGTGAAAGACAGAAAATTTGAACAGAAAAAGAGAGAAATGTGTAGCAGAACTCAGAGCTCACTTTTTATCCAAACCATCACTAACGTAAAAACCTGAGTTTCTACTCACATCTGCTGCAAGCGGGTCTGGAGGAGTGGGCGGAGTCACAGTTGAAGAAGCTGCAGACCTTCCTGGTCTGTCTGAAAAGAGGCGGAGCAGAAAGAAACCTTTCCCTGCAGAGAAACAGATACAGCTTCTTCAGTGCAGCTCAGGATGAACCAATAAAGACTTTAATGTCCAAAATAAATAACAAAAAGATATTAATAAAGTGTAGACAATATAAAGAACAATCAGAAGTATTATTATTAATTATTAAGTACAGCTGAGCTTTTGCTTTTCTGGTTAAATTCACAGAAACTAGACAATGTTCCTAATCTTTACCTAAAGGCTCCAATAAAGCTCGACAGCCTCTTTAAGGGATCAAACCCAGGAGGAAACTAATTAAAGAATTTAAACAAAAATTAACAATAAAAAAAATACTAGATTCCACCAAATAAAGGAAGTAAAAATCTATCTAGATTTTTATCTTATTTTGTTCTTTACTTGAGGATTTATTCTTTTATCTGTTATTAAAGATTTCTTTTTTTTTAAATGTACTTTAGCAAATTTGTTTAAACATATATTTATTTACTTCAATATTTACTCGTTAAAGTTGTTTATAGCTATATTTATTTTTGTATATTATTCAAAACCTGTATTTATTACATAATGGTGATTTTATTTTTTCAAACTTTTTTTGTATTTTGTGGAGTTTTTTTTATTCCTGTGTTTTATATTTATTTTTCTCTTCTTCCAATGAAGCAGTGGATTTTCAGAGTTTCTAATTATTTTAACGCTGAACAACTGAAGGCAGAGAAAGTCGACCTGTTTATTCTCAGACTGCAGTAAAAACGGCAGCAGTCCAGGTGAGGTTTGGGTCAAAACCAACATAATTAAACTTTACACACCAGATAGAATGTTAAACGTAAACAGTAGCTAGTTTAGCATGATGGCTAATGCTAAGCTAGTTAGATGAAGCTATAAATGAGCTGCTGACTACAGTTTACTACAACCTTGCGATAACAATTATATCTTGAAATAAACAAATGATTAATCTTATTTTGAAATATTGAAAAAATTATAACTTTAAAAATATTAATTTTGAAGTAATTCTAAAAAATATATTTTGGAATAAAAATAACTAAATATTTTTGTATTGTATTAAATTGTATAATTTTTCCTTGAAATCAAAACTATTTTCCGAAATTATGGCATTGTGAAATAATTAGTTTTTAAATAATTGTATTATAAACAAAAATAATTAAATCTTGTAAAAAGTAACAATTAAAATAAATAAAACATTATAGCTTGAATAAATGAATAAATCTTAAATTACAAAATAGATTAAAACCTTTTTTTTTTAATTCTGTTTTGTTTAATTTCATAGGAACTTTTCTATGTTCAAACGAACATTTATAACTAATTTATTAATACCAGTAGTTATTAATTTCGTATTGAATGAAACAGAAACCAGTTTTCTTGTTAGGGACAGAAATGCTGTTTTATTGGCAGCAACCTTTAATCACACAGAGCTGTGAGGAGGCGGCCGATAGGTTTCACTTTCCCAGAGTTTCACTTCACAGGAAAGGAAAGCAGTGGGGAGGAGCTTCTGTCAGAGAGGTGGAGCTGATTATAAAAACCAAACTCCCTCAGTCACACTGCAGCATCGAAGCTAACAGCTACAGGCCTTTTCTACCTCGCAGGATGAGCAGCTTTGTAGCGCTGCAGGGCGGAGCTCTCTGGACGCCTCATCTGGTAACTAAATGTCTGACTGAATATTCCTGACAGACGTGTGTCATCGAAAGCAGCGTTTCCCAACCTTTTTGGACTTTTTTTGTCCTATGGGCAATTTGTCTTACCATGAGTTTCCCTCTTAGTCAAAAAATATTGATGATCATCCAAAAGTGGAACGCACAATAACTGATTATGAAATAAAAACTGTTTTAAACAATATTTTAATTTAAGCATTTAAATCTTGGACATTTTATTCTTTCCATCTCAAATTAAAAATAAAAACATAAGTATGTTGCCCGGAAATTAGTAGGCAATCAAAATAAATGCAAAATAAAATCATATTATAAACCCGTATTAATAAAACCGGAGTTCTTCTGTATAACTCCCTTATAATGACATTTAAACTGGGTGAATTGGTAACAAAATACAGAACAAAAATTATACTCAGACTGACTTAATTAGTTTTACTTTCTTTTCATTCAAACACCTAAACTGCTGTGAGGAGCTCTGATAGCTCAGTGCTGATCTCTACATCCAGTCTGTTCCTCTGCCTGGTTTGGATGTCACAGCTGAACTCAAACATATAAGAAAAACGTACTTTTTGGTTGATAAAAGTTTGTTTAATATTTCAACTGGGCCCTAAGAAAGCAATTAGATCCCAGCCCCATTTTATTTCACTACCTAAAAAATTAAATATTTAAATCTACCCCTTGCAATGCACTCGCTGACCACTAGGGGCAAAAGTACCCCTGGTTGGGAAAAACTGATCTAAAGAATTTGTTGAATTTAAGGTTTAAAATCTTTTTAAACACAGATCTATACTGACCAGAATTATGTGCAAAAATCATGTGGGAATTTATCTATAGCAAAGGCAACAGAGATACCCAAAATTTATTAAAAATATACATTTTTCCTGTTAGTTAAACTCTGATAGTGGTGATCTCTAAATGTTCCTGCATGATTTGCTTTCTGATTCAATGAAAAGTATCTCTATAGGCCTGCATCTATTTAACACATTCTGTTTTTCCTAAAGTGCGTCTGGATGACTAATCAGTGATGAAGAAGCATCAGATGCTCCCTGAGTTCAGGGCCTGAAGCAGAACCTCTGACTCAACTAATCCGGTTTAAGGATAAAAACATTCACTAAATGCAACAAAAAGCTGCGTCCGCCTTTTATTGATGACCTAACCAAGCGAGGCGATTCTGTGTCATAAATCACCTGAGGTTCTTCTCCACCTCCCTGCTCTCATACTGGTCGCCCTGGCTCAGAAGTCGCAGAATGCTTTTCTCAAAGGACTCTGTGCACTGATCCTTTGGAAGCTGAAAAAGAAAAAACAGCATCAGTTTGGATCAATGAGACTCGATCTGCATCAGCCAGGTTTAAAGAAATGTTTCAAGCTCAGAGAAGAGATTATTGTTTCTGTCACCTTAAGGAGGAAGTTCTCCAGTTCATGATGGGTTTTGGTCACGCTGCTGGAGGAAGAGTCCGACCACTTGACCTAAAACCAGCAGATTGTAACGTAAATTGTAGTTGACAATAAAGATTGATTGAGATAGCAGCCAAACATCACAACCAGAACAAAAAACTCACATTGGCGTCACAAACAGGATTTATACCCACTGGCTAACGACCCACTGGCTAAACCCCAGAAGGGGTGGATGATGTGGATCATTTAGTATCAATGCTGTTTGAAAATCTCTGATTCTAAAATCCTAAACTTATTTTTTTCTAAATACTTTCTGCTTTGAAGTAACTTCTGTGGGTCCATCTGACCCCATACAATAACAAAATCATGCTTTGTTTCCTGAACTTAAGGTAACTTCTTATCCTGTGTGATCGTAAGGCCCGTCTGATCGTTGGGCTGCAAGTAGATATGATGTAGACCTGATAAAAGGTCTACATCATATCTGACTCCAGGCCCAGCATTAAACTGCATCTCCCCAAACAGGAAGCACTGGAGGGCATCAAGTCTGTTTTATAAAAAAATAAAAGCACTAGTAATTTCTAAAACACTAAAGGACCAACAGAAGATGAAAGAAGTAAATAAAGGTCTGAACTTTTGGGTTTTGAATGCAGCATGACATTTTAACGCTCAAATTAGACAAAATCAAAACAAAATTCCAACATTTTCTTGAAGGTTATAAATCCCTCAGAGTTCCTTGTGGTTCTGTAAAGAGAAATAAACGTTTAAGTTAAGGATAACTGGTCCTGATGTCTCTGCTGTGAGAATAGACGCCTCGTCGTCCTTAAATAGGACTTCAACACTAAATGAAAGCCTCTTTAATGGAAGCGTCTTGTACTGAATGTTAAATTTTTCTGCGGCTATCGGCTTTTATTTTGAAAGGGATTTCAGATGAGATATGGGGAAAAAGGGAAGGTCTGTCACAGCAACATTGTTCCAGCATCATCCTACTGTTCATTATGAATAGGTGAGCCTGAATTTGATTTCCTGATTACTTTGCATGGGAATCACTCCATATTTTTAAATTTTTAAGCTTTTCAGTAAAAAAAAACTTCTTGTTCAAACTAAGACAGAAGTACAAGCTGAGCTGTAGAGCTAATTAACAGCATATATTAGACTCTGACTGCAGAATATTTCTCAAAGTTTACTCATTTACAAACTGAATGGTCTCCTTTCTAACACGAACTGCAGTTTTTACATCACAAAGATTTTCTACAAGATCTGCAGAATTCATTTTGATTTATCAAAAGTTCCAGTTTTCAAACCCATTGCAGCTCTGGGTAAATACAGAGAAGAAATCAACACAATGATGGGGCAAAGTTTCATTAGCTAACTGCCTAAAAAGTGGATCAGAGCTGCAGCTGATGAAGATGCTGCTGCCTGCGTCCTCACTAAAACTAAGGAAGTAGAGAACATCAGCTCAGTTCTAAAGTCATTCCTCTGGCTCCCAGTATCTGTTAGTCTATAATCCACTGCATGGCTTTTCTATATAATTTAATATATTGAAATATATTCATTGAATTATTTGTAATAAGAAAAAATAAACAAAAAATGATCAATTTAATTTTCTTCTATTTAAATTGTTTTAATTCTCTTTGCTAATACATATTATCTCTATGGAACTGCCATATACTCTTTTTCTTTGAATTTCCAGATGTTTTTTTAGCTGTGCTGCAAATCACATCCCAACATCAGAGAAACCAGACACCTGTCCTGTCCTTCAGCTGTAAATCACTGAATAAAACACACCAGATGCTGTTTCAGCCTTCACAATCTGAGTGACCCGATAGTGAAGATTAAAGAGCTGAAATGACTTCCAGTGAATTTAAAGCTGACAAACAGTCCACACTCTAATGTGACTGTTTAATTCTGCTTCTAAGGTTTAGGACTCAGCAGTTAATGAGGGTTGGGGTTAAAGAGCAGTGATGTTACCCGTTACTCACATCAAAGCTGTATTCCTTCTCCGCTCCTGTCCTAGAGATCCCTCTGAGCACGATCCCCTCGATATGCACGGCTACAAAGTTACACAACAAAAAATAAATAAATCAATGGAGAAACTCACTTTTAAGCATAAAAAATAACAATAAAATAAAATTCACCTTCTCTTTGCGCCGCCCAGCGACTGCAGCGGCGGCTCTGGCAGGGAGGATGGGAGGCCGGGAGCTCTCCAAGGTCCTGCACCGAGGGGGTCAGGTAGTCCACCTGCTGAGCCATCGGCTCCTGGAAAAAGAAACATTCCCGATGTTAGCAGATCGCAGCAGCGCAGCTATAAAACTCCACTATAGCTCAGATGTTATTTATCGCCACAAACACTTGAAGGATTTAAGAATTATGGGAAAAACTAGATTCCTATAAATAAAAATAGAGATTTAAAATCTGATTCCCTTTTCCGTTACGTGAACAGATCAAACCATAGCTTTGCTGATTTCACTGAGTGCTCTACGGTGTCTAGGTTTCCACTGAGTAATTGTTTCCAAAAAAAAAAGAGGAATAAAAAGATGAAAGAAAAAGCCACTTGAAAGGGCAATTGTCCTAATCCTATATCCTAATCCTAATCCTAATTGTACATCCTATAGAGGTGTTTCAGCTGGGTGATGGGAAGCCATTAAAAATATGTATCGTGACTTTAGCCTTTCACCTCAGCTGGGACATTAGGATTACTGTTTAAATATATTTACTATAAAAATATTTACAGCATTGGAAAACAATTTAGTTTGACCTTCTGCATGCCATATTAAAACAAACCAAAAAATACATTTTCATAAATTTTTGACAAGGTACTAGGGAGCCACAAGGGGCGCTAAAGAGCCGCAGGTTGCCAACTCCTGGTCCACTCTGAGCAGCAAGCTGTCTTCATCTTAAAAAAAAGATGTCTTCTTCACCTAAACAGGTCTCCACTTTATTATCTTCCTCCAAATGTGGATCTTATGGTGCATTTATTGCATCAGTGACCAGTTTTTTGACCCCATCTGANACTTGCTCATATTTTCCAGACAAAAAGTTAATGGAGCATCTCCCAAATGTCCCAGCCGCAACAACGCTTTTATTGGTTCCGCTATCGAAAAAAAAAAGTCAATTTTAATGTTTTATTTAAATTACAAAAAAAAATCGTAATAAAAATAATCCTATTTATGATGTTTTAAAAATTAAGACCTAAGAAAGACTGATTTAAGACATTTTAATACCAATTATATACCAAACTTTTGAAGAATTCAATGCCTTTTAAGACTTTTTAAGGACCCGTGGGAACCCTGATTAAGGTCAGACGTCCAGTAAGTGTTTTTAAGTGAGAAATTCCACCTGAAAACTTGATCTGTGCAGTCAGTTCATCCTGACTTCAAATATTATTTCTCTGCTGGAGCTGCTCAGACCCCCCGTACATCGCCGATGTTCCATCACTAGGCATCCCCAGCAGCAGCTGTTTCTTGAGAACATTGCATGCCAATTTGCACTGTTAGGGAGCCACAAGGGGCGCTAAAGAGCCGCGGGTTGCCAACTCCTGGTCTAGTCTGAGCAGCAAGCTGTCTTTATCTTGACAAAAAGGCGTCCTTCTCACCTAAACAGGTCTCCACTTTATTATCTTCCTCCAAATGTATATCTTATGGTGCATTTACTGCATCAGTGACCAATTTTTTGACCCCATCTGACCTCTGTTTTGTGTAAAGCTTCAATCTATCCATCCTGATATCAGTCAACATCGTCTCTACAGGGATAAACGCAGACATCATGGTGTCGACCGTCACATTGTGCTTGTTAGAAACGGGAGGCTCTGTCCAACTATTTGCTCCAAACAAAGGCTGACGATTACAAAGTTGGCAGCTTAACTTATTCTTTATCCCCTCTGATCAAATAAAAGGTTTGGACAAAAGGTGGAGAGCTGAGGTCGACCCAAACGGGTAGACCCCAGTCTACATCACAAACCTGTTAGCTCGTTTGACAGTTAGGCTACAGAACGACAGCTGCAGGGTCCGCAGATCCTCATCTGTCTGTCAGCAACATATAGATCTATCAGGTGTTACATCCTAGTTTCACCTGCTTTACATTGTTTACAGCTCGAACCACGTATGGACGTAAACGCAGGAGCAATGTGAGATGGTTTTCAGAAAGTTCATGATGGGATCCCTGAGGTGTATGGAATGAATTTGCTTCAATAATTGTTCAAATAAAGCCACAAGTTAGAGCAAATGCTATGAAACAATTTCAACCTTTTCACTCTACAGGCTACAGTTAGGGTCATTACAAGTTAAAATCATGACAGAACGATTGGGAAAAGACTAAAATGAAATCAGACTGCTTTGAAATAAAAAAGAAAGAAAAGAAAATGGTAGCATCAGCATCTGGAACCATGTCCTGTTAACAGAAGTGAACGGCTCCATGTTTAAAACTAAAGCGAATCAAATGGCATAAAAAACGTAACTAAGTCATAAAACAACATTTAAAATCTCTGCCAAAGGAGCTTCCTGGTAAAAGCAATCTTAAACCACAATAAGGCCTCTATCTGGTGGAACCTGTTGCGTTTTTAAGAAAAATGAAACCAAATGTTTTTATGCATTTATTGTCTTATAATACCTAGCATGGTTATTGCTACAGCTCATGTTCATTATTGCAAGCAAAGAAAATTTTATGTAAAAAATTAAAAATTTTGATTCAAAGTATGAAAAAAAATAAATCTAGAGACCACACCCTAAATAACGTTTTAATAAAAATCTTATGATTACCATTACAGTTTGGTCTGATTTTATTTTCATTTTGCAAACCTTTTCCCCCTTTTTCAAATATTCATCATTTATGCTTTGAAGACCCCCCACCCCAAGCTTCTGTTTTGTAGATGTAATTTTATTAATGTAATCTTTTTCCAAACAGTATTTAACAGATGCCATTCTCCCCAGAGGGGTTTCCTCTGAGAAAACATTTATCTTGGTCGGCTGAACTTTTCAACATTTCTATTGTTCCAGATCTAATCTGATCCGATTTCGAATCCTGATCCCATATTTTGCCTTTAGTAATGAAATGTATAAAACTCAAATATATTTTTAACAAGTAACTCAACTTTTTATCAGACTAATAATTCCATAATAATCAGTCATGTTGCAGACATTGCAGGTAGCTTTAGGACAGTTTCACTGTAGAGAGTAAAATATTTCCACACTTCTGACGTACTTGATTTGCACATCCACAGAGGTTTGGATTGCACTGCTATAGTCACCCATAACTAGCGGCTACTATACGGAAGTTGCTGTTCGGCAAAGATCGGTACGACTCCTCAGCTATTGTAGCCGAGCTCCGATCATTGAGTTGAAGAGTTCTGCCAGCGCAAGACCAGACAACATGCAGACAGATCTATAACAGTTTTTATTTTTATTTTTTTTAATATAGTCTGTTCAATCATATTTATTTGGCTTACATGTAACGTTTATTGATTTTAAAGTTTTGTTTGCATGATTAAAGAAAAGTAAAACAACTTAAATACCAGTTTCTACTAACATACTGGCTGTTAAGTGGAAGTGGATATAGTTTTATAAATACTGACCTCTTTACATTTGTGTTTATTTTATGCATTGTACTATTTATATACATTTTATGCATCTCAAACATACTGTTTAACATAATTCACATTAGGCAGAAGCAGAGAGCATGATGGGAGATTTAATATTCTTTTGGGATTAATAAAGTATTTTTGAATTAAATCAAAGATCTGCTGTATTTTTTTCCAGTAGTTAAGCATGGCTGACCAGTGTCTATGGCAGTGACCAGGTGATGCCCCTCTACTTATTTAATGTTAGTGCCTCAACATTGTTGCCAGAACTCTCTTACCTACATGGCTCTAGTGATCTGGTAAAACTTAAAAATTATAAATCAGTCTAAACCACGGCTGGGCGATGTGACCTCAAAATAATATCACAATTAAATTGAGCAGTTTTACCTCAGTATTGATAAATGCTCCCGCTTTCTGAAAATAATGGCAGGAGCAGGAAATCCAACTAATTTTCTTTTATTTATTGACCAAATAACATTACATATTACTCTAAATTAATATATAAAAATCATGTAAAAATTCAAGTTTAAACTCTCAACCATTAATAATTGTGATTTGTGATCAGTACCTGGTTGAATTAAATCTTCCCAATAACTGTCAGGGAGGAGAGAATGGAGCTGATGTTCATCCATTTCATGTTAGTTCAGCTATTTCGTTTTTAGATGGCGCTATCCATGATTTAAGATCATTGTCACTTTCCCACTATTTTCTGTAACTCTTCTTATATTTTCCCCACTTCTGCATCTTACCGCTTATTACAGTAGTTCCACCTGTTGCTAGAACTAGCATAATTACACCAGTTCTCTGTTGTAAACACCCTGGCAGATGACATTAGCTAATCAGCGATGGAGAAAGATCAGGGAGGCTTTGCTACTAACTCTAACCGCTGAAGAGGCCTCCTGCTCGGACACAGTGCTGGAAAATCTCCCCTCTCTAACAAGATCTCTGGTTCTGAGTGAAAATGACATATTTCATCCAGGGTTTGAGGTTTTCATCCACCAATCATATCTCCTGATGACCTTTGAAAAAGGGCTTTCTTCTAGGAGCATCACTTTGGGGCACTTTACTCAGCATACTTTATCCGCTTAACAGGGCTCCTCCTCTGATCTATTGCTGGAAAGCTCCCCTCTCTAACCAGATCTCTGCTTCTGGATGAAAATTATGTTTCATCCATGGTTTGCTCAAATGAATGATTAACTCAAAAAATGCAGATCTGACTCCAAACCAGCCAAAATAAACTCCCCCTGCCATAAACAAATCCTTACCCTCAAAATCAAAATGAAAACCGACCAATCGGGCAACAGCGGAGGTTCTATGAGTTACGTTGGGTAGACATGACAGTTTTCAGGTAAACTTTGCATTTTGCGCTTTTTTTTTTTTTTTTGCGTTACATCCTTTGAGGAAACCAAAAAATTTCCAAAATACAGGAAACTAATTTGATAGGATTAACTGATATTGTTTTATTTACGGCTGTGTGTTAGCCACTACTACACAGGCTACATACGCCATTTTCTTTGTTTACGCTTCAGACTAGATCGGTGGAGAAATGTGATTTTACGCACGCCGTCATGTCTTAAGGAGGAATGGAAATACCAGCCACCCTCACACACCGTAAAAATGGCAGAATTAAGTTGTTTTTTTTTACCAAGTTTGTACTTTTTACTAAAAGGGAAAAATTGTCGCTATTTATCATAGCGAATATTAATGATACAAATTTGCTTTATCGCCCAGGCCTAATCAAAAACACCAAAAATCTGACAAATAAAAAAAAAAAATATATAAAATTTTTAAACAATATATATTTTTTAATTACATTTGGAAAAAATACGAAAGAAACAAAACAAAATTTCCAACAAAATTTGAGAAAAAAAATCAAAGTTAACCTCAAAACCTCTATAAAAAAAAACATTTTTTAAATTTAATTTCATGAAAAATAATTTCTTTTGTTTCGTTTTTCAAATGTTCATTTACAAAACATGTTCTATGCTAGCAACAATTATGGCACAACCTCTGTTCCATAAATATCACTGGAATATCTTATTGTTAAAGAAAAACAATATTCTATTTTCCAATGATTCATTTGCACTGTGGCACGTCCGGCCTCCCATATCTCAGCACCATCTGTCCAGCTTGAGCTGCTTTTAGCTGCTTTCTAGCAGCTGGCTAACCTGTTAGCTAACAGTTAGCATCATTAGCTCCGCCAGTATAAACAGCGAAACCTAAAGCTAAACTACGACGTTTAAACGAAACTTAACGCTCCTTTGTGAAAACAGAACTCAGCGCCTGCGTTTTCTCTGTTTTAGCGGGTTTTAATATTCGGTTTCTCGGTGTTTTTAAATGCAATCCTCATCCTAACTTTAGCGGTTGTTGCTGGGCTCCAGCTCCAGGGAAGGCCTGGCTATCATAGCTGTGTCTTACCGTAGGCTGGGCGGTCATCCTCAGCTGCTGCTGCCGCCTCTCCTCCTCCAAGCACAGCTCGATCTTGTCCAGCTGAGCTCGGATCACCTCCCGCTGGTGGAAGTGGAAGGCTGGGTGCAGGGAGGCCAGCGTGTAGAGCAGCGCCAGCTGCTCCAGAGCCCCCCCGGCCGGTTCGACCCGGTTCTGCTCACACACGGACCCGTCCTGACAGGGCGGGTAGAACGGGTGGAGGTGATGCTGCGGGTCCCTGAAGGAGGACAGGGGGTAGCCGAAGCTCCTGAAGGACAAGTCCACGCTGCTGAGGATCCTGGACAGTATTCCAGCACATTCCCTCCTGTCAGAACCGAGGAGGGACAGACACACGATCAGTTTGGACCGGACCACCGGGTCGGTCACGTCCGTTAGAACCCCCAAATCGCTCGGGTTGTTCGCCCTGCCCTCAAAGTCCCGTAAAACATGGTAGTCCTTCCTGGCCAGGTCCTCCAGGTATGATCCCAGGAAGCGGAGCTCCAGCGGCTGGCACATATGCAGCAGCCCGCACATGAACTCCACCCGCTTGGCGGGGTTCAGGTGGTGTCCGAACCACTCGAACACGGTCTCCCTGTCCAGACTCGAGGCGGGGTCCCGGGGCGGCGGCTCCCGGAGCCTTTGATAGACGGAGGGGGGGGAAGCCGCCCTGGGGACCTGGAGCCTCTCGGATGGATCCAAAGAGCCGTCCTCCGCCGTCTCGTCGCCAGTTTTCATCGGTAGCTTCATTTTTATCATTATCGGCGATACTGGAGAAACTTCAAAGTGTAAACAAAACAACAAGATGCATTACGACAAAAAACAACGCGTAGTTCCACTAAAATTACTGTTTTTCTTTTTCTTCTCTTAGCTAATCATCTGACGCGGCCATAACTGTAGCTCCTTTTTTCCTAAGTTGATTTCTTCTTCTACTCCTAATTTCCGGCAGGGTGCTTCTGTGTTGACGCTGCAGTGCTGCCACCTGCTGGTTTTTTACTGCATCAACACTGACTGAAAACAGCTTCCGTACAGTTAGAAGGGCTTCATTTAGGAAGAAATTAAGATTACATCAAAATACTTTAAGTTACCAATCACCTCCAAAAAAAAAAAGTTATAGCGACCAAATTCTTTGATGCAATTGAAAATTTATTGATTTTTGATGGAATTATAATTATTCAATATGTTCTTTTTTCTTCTAATGACAAATGAATTGTCTCTGTTAATAATAATAATAATAATTGGCCAAACATTGCACAAAAGTATTGCTTCTTTAAAACAGCCAAATTGAGTTTTTTTTTTTTTTTTGGAAGATTATGTTCATTTTATAAGTCTTTATGTTTACATTCAAATCTTTACAAATTATGTTTAATTCAATATTTAAAAAAATACGTAACTGATCCCAAATGGAAATTAAATGTTACTCTTACTCATATTTATGTATATTGTATTTGTTTAACAGCCTGATGAATAAGTTGGCATTCATTTGCTTTCAGTCTCT